CTCTGGGGAAGGGTACCCAGCACAAGCCCTCCCCATTCCCCACTCACCTTGCTCCTCCAGCACAGCGTGTGCCTCCCTCTCCCAGGGACCTCGGCGTGCCCCAAGGGACGTGGGAGCCCCCAGTCTCCACCCCGTCCCCCTCAGCCTTTGCTCCTCACCCCCAAAGAAGGCACAGAACAACTCCAACTGCCCTGGACAGCAGCACCTTGCTTTATTGGAAGCCCGTCTAGGTCTAGACCCCCTCCCAAAAAGGGGCTCTGCTGCAACAAGAAAAGGGGGGCAGGTTCCAGAAATCCCTTCTCCAACACCCCAGACACAGGCCAGAGGCAGAAAGAGAGAGTGGTGGCAGAGAGGACACAGGAAGAAAAGAAAGAACAAAAGAATAGGCTGTAGGATGAAATAGAAAAACAAAACAAAACAGAAAAAAAACCAAACCAAACCAAAACAAAAAAAAAACCCAAAACACCAAAAACCACCAAAACCAAAAACAACCAAACCACCAAAAACCAAAACTCCCACCCAAACCCAAAACCTGGCATGGGCAGCAAGAGAGAGAGGGATTGAAAAAGAACAGAGCCAAGGAAGGGGACACAAGGATCCACTGGGAAACAAGGGCACGGGGAAGAGCAGAGAGACAGACGGAATTAAAAAAGGCAGGTGAGTGAGCCATGGAGAAGGACACAGAAAAAGGCCGAGTGCAGGACACACAGCAAGGACGGAGGGATACAAAGTGGGAAACAAGGAGCCAGACAGGAAAGGACCACGGCACGTGGACGTGCAGGCGAGGCGCAGCACAGCAGTGGAGACAGAGAGGCACGGCCGGCAGGACACAGGCTGACCAAGAGAAGGACACAGTGAGGACCAGTGACAGCAGCTGGTGCACACAGGTACAGGCAAAAGGACAGCGAGAGGGACAAAGAAATACAGTCACTGTGCAGGACAAAGGAAAAAAGGAGAGGAAGAAAGAAGGAAAGATAAAGACGCAGGCACACCGGGAGTCAGAGAGAGACAAAAAGTAGGACAGAAAGGGATTGAGTGATATTTATTAAACTGAGTATTTCGTATTTCTTGAAAGAAAAACAAGAACAAGAGAGAGTGAAGTAGTGAAAGGGAATGGGAGGGGGAGTACACAGGAAAAAGGAACAAAAAAGATGGACAGAGAGAAGATAAGGGGATAAAAGTTGGATATGAGTGTGACAGAAATTCAGGAACAAACCCCAGGATTTATTAGAGAGTGCGGCTGATGAGCGTGTCAATGAACCACCAGCTCAAACAGAACTGGCTACTGTCCCAGCTCAGCCATTAATTAACATCTGTCTCCTGGCAGGGCCATAAAACCCCTGATAAAACATGAGGTGAAAGCTGAATGGATGATGCGATCCAAGTTTTGTGCTGCTCAGCCCTAGTCCCAGCCCGTGCCACCAGTGAACGCCCTGATCTCCTCAGGGCAATTTCACCTTTGCCTGGTTCTCTTCCCCTCCCGGTATCTCCCTCTGTTTGGAATGAACGTGATGAGAGGCTGAGAAGCGTTTTGCACAGCACAATGAATAAAATGGTATAATTTTCAGAAGACAATTGAGAACATACAGCAAAACTGCCTCGAGGGTACAGAAGTTTCCTAAGAACTCCCCTGGAACAGGGAAAGAAGAGAAACCACACAGACTTTCAATGCAAGACTCTAAAACCAGCAAGAGATTTATTCTTGTGTATTAAATGTTAAAAATCACATGCATAATTATAGAATATTTTATAGTTAAAAAAATATTTCAAAAACCAACCCCGACAGTTTACCTGCAACTGCTATAAAATATCTATTTTTTTATTTTTATATATATATATACATATACATACATACATATATATATATATATATATATATATATATATATATATAAACATGGTGATTTTCTGTAATCAAAAAAATTAGACAAGAATGCAACCATCCAGGTAATGCTGAGTGGAGTGATGCCCTGCATCGGACAGTCTTGTCAACCTCCTGCTGGCGGAACTGAGCTCATCCCGGCCAGTTCACAGACTCATCTCGCGCACGGATTCAAATCCAAATGACAGCTGTGGAAACAACGAGTGGAAGAAAATTGTATTTTGCACACTACAGCCAAGACCTGTGAAGGCCCACAGTAGAATATGCTGTAGAAGAGCCTGTGGTACAAGAAATGCAGCCTCGTGGGCTGTCTCCTCAGACACGCTGGTGGAATATTCTGCTTAACTGGCCACATGCGCCGTGCGCCCGCGTCCTGCACGCAATGTCAGAAATGTCAGCACGTGTTTTACCAGGCACTTAAGGTTTTAAGGCATGTTTCAGCTCCTAAGGAAGGCAGCCAACAAAGATGTTTGTAACAATTACCAAGAAACAGACATAAAAATGACAAGTTGCTGATTTTAAGCAGCCGAGTCGTTGCTGTTCTGAAGGATGGCCCCATATGGGTCACTGTTAATGCGCTTGTAGACAAAGTGAAAGACCTGGGGCTGTGGACGGCTGTGCAACTCTGCCTTGATCTTCTGAGGATAGGTATCCTCTGTCAGTTGTTGCCAGGTGTCATCAACAAAAAGAAACAGCCTGTATTCTTCTGGGTTTGCCACTTTAAACTTCTCAGCACAAAGCTGACATACGTCTTCGGTAGTGATATACGGCCTTACTAGCAAAGTCTTTCCTGTACAGCCACTGGTAACTTCCTGGAATGCAACACGAAGGTAGTTCTGTGGAACAAGACAGCAGACATCAGGAACTCGGAAAAAAAAGGTCAGCGACAAAAAGCAAGCCCCTCCCTGCTCCAGCTGTCAAACATACCCTGGTGATCCCTGGACATTACGGTCATTCCATGAGCTGCAGCCTGCTGCAGCCTAACCCAGCTTCACAGGACTGCATTTCTTTTTTTTTACAGGGATTCAGAAAGGAAGTTTACTCTGCAGCACTCGAGTAAATGCACATGATCTTGAGGCAAAAGCTGAATCTTTTCTCCTGTAGAAACTGACACACACCCACAACTCTGCTAACAGGGATACGTTCTAAACAGGCCCCACAGGGAAATGCAGTTACACCTGCTTCCTCTTTGTTTTTGTCTTGGAGTGATTTTATGAAAATACTGTATTCCCCTACTGTCTGCTTTATGCCCGGAAATGGGTCCTGAAGCTTTAAGCTGGGTCTAGGGGAGGGGTGGGAGCCAGGGGAACTCTGGCACGGGTTGTGTTCAGGCACTCTGCTTTTGGCTACTTTGTTTTTTGTTAGCTGAGGCAAGAAGTTTTCCCAGGACTGCTACAGCAATCCTCCGCTGATTTCTGTGGCCTCCTGTGGAACTGCTCAGCTCAGCTTTGGTCCGAGAACCAGACCATTGGTGGGAGCCGGACGCTGCGAGCCGGCAGGGAGGCCGCGGGACGCCGCATGCCAGCTCCGGACCTCAGAGAAAGCCGGGCCAGCTAAAGAGAGAACTCTAAATCCACCAGCTTTCTCTGCAGTGACAAGCTTCAATACCTAACAGGTATTCATTTCTTCCTGCGCCCTGCGGGCACCTTTATTTGATAAATAAGCAGTTTTTGTCACCCTCACCCAAGAAATTCCTTTTCTATTGGTGGGAAGGGAGTGCTGAAACCCATTTTCTTCGGAGAGCTTTTTCTCCTAAAACTGTCTCTAAACTGGAGACGGTTTTAAAAGAAAAAATAGCTGGAATTAAAGACTAAAATGCAGTAAGATTGAAGGAAGTGTAAAAAATTACAGTGAAAAAGAGGTGCTTTTTGACTGAGCTGGCAGTCATGGTTCATATGCTGAATAAATTAAAGCATGTGAAACCCCAATGGTAGAAGTTTACATTTCATAGAAACAAGCTGTTAAAAGCTAGGACTGAGAAGAGCCTTCCAATGACTCAAGTTCCAAAGGGCACTCTTGTCCAATCAATTATTTCTTGATACCATGTAGACTGAAACACTAAAGCTCTGCAACAGCATTTTAAAAACTGGGACTGAACCTGACTGAATAGAACGAAGCCATTTTTGTTACCTGGTTTGGAGAACTTGAAGAAAAAACCCAGTCCTAGATATGGAAGAATACACAAGATTTAATTTTTAATGCAGCTGCCACACACAAGACCTGCTTTGAATCGAATGATGGACAGGATTGCTGGAAGGAAAAGCTGACTTTTTTGACAGATGCCTATAACTCATAGACTAAGCATCAAAATTATTCCCACAGAATCAGAAAGCTGTATTTTATTATCATCAAAGTACTGTGGTTTTTGCTCTTCCATCCATTTGGGGAAGTTGGAAAGACACCCTCCAGGGCCCAAGAGCTGGCAAAGCTGTGAGACCGCAGCACAGAAATGCCATGACCACACCCTGCTTCCCTGGGAGAAAGGTGACTGGAGCTGCAGGTGTGCTCCATGCTGGTTGTAGGGAAGGTGCTCCATTTCAGGACTGCAAGACTCAGAGAGAGAAGAGAGAAAACTGCCATTCTGAGCAGAGAGCAAAGTGCTTGCATTTGTGCCAAGCACATGTTGGGAGTAGTATGCTCCACTAATCCAAGGCTTTGTTTTGAAAGAGGCAACAGCAGGAGAAGCACTGGATGCCCTCGGTGACAGCTCTTCCCTGCCCCCGGCATCTTCCTGCATCCAAGTGAACATTGAGCCTGGACCGAGTTCATTTGCAGAGAAAGAGAAGATGAAACTTCCTGCAAGATCCTGCAGAAAGAATCTTCTGTCCCCAGCAGAAATGCAACATGCTGGATGCTCCTATGGAAAGTGCAGAGTTTTGCCAGAAAGAACAAAGACTCCAGCTGCTGGAATATGACACCTAAGCACAGGTCAGCAGAACAGAACGTGGATCCCAGGGAGATGGACGGGCTTTGGACACTGGAACTGCTTGTAATCGCTTCTCCTCTTCCTAACTGCAGACAGCTGGACTCCAAGGAGTAAATCCTCTCTTCCCAATTCCAACACCCTCTCGCTTTCACAAACTGCTGCACCTGAACAGTCAGTCCAAAGCAGATGGAAGAGATGCAGGCCTGGTTTCAGAAGATGAAGTAATAACCACTACTTTGTTATTCTCCAGTTGAAGGTACTGGCCTACTCTGGAAGAGCAGTACAAAACACAGGACAAAAAAACCCACAAACAAACGTGAGGACATCCTGATTACAGAACTCTGCTGCCTGTTTAAACTTCAAAACTCTTGGGGAACATTTCTCCCACCTCTCCTCTCTGCTACCTGCTTTATGTCACCACTGACTACTGGGCAGTCAGGCTGATTTATACCCCTGGAAATCCGGATTTGATCTTCTGAACAATAAAGTGTGCAAAAAAGCTGAATCTAAGATGCAATGGAATTTGTCCTCATTTTGCATGACTTAAAGGGGAAAGTAAGAAAACTCTTATTATTTGATGTTTTCTTCAGACCATCATAATGAAATTGTTTGATAAAAAGTGCAAAGACTTCAAAACCGAGGAAAATTTGCCAGCCGTAATCTCAGCACTGTTTCATTCCACTTGTGGTCCCAAGGGAATTTGCTACAAACTGTACCTCTTAAATGGGAATTTCCAACAACACAATCATCCCATTGTCTATATCTAAGCTCTACCTGAAAATCATCAACTGAAGGTACTGTCCTGTTTGTTGTCCTCCTCTTGTGCCACTGTCGGAGAGTATCCCTGGCCTCCGAACTGAGCAGCTGGGCAGCTTGCTCTTCCTGGAAGTTCTTGATGAGTGAAAGTGCTCCATAAGCGCTTGTCAAGTAATAGCCTCCTGTGAAGGACAGAAAGGGAAGAACTTCTCAGAGCGGTCGCAGTCACAAGTACAGGCAGTTTTCTTTGAGATACATAAATTCGCACTGAGAGGCACCCAGCCACACATATAGATATGAAGGCTGCCAGAATATTTACACACAAAAGGAAAACCCTGCCTGGCCTGCACAGCGCTGGAGGGTGTGGTCTCAGCTGTTTGGGAGACGGGCAGGGGTTGCATGTGCTCCATATCATGCAGCGCTGTCCATGTCTGCGCCACTCCTGCTGAGGAAAGCTGATTCCTGAACGATTTTCTATCAGTGTTTTGGTTTCCTCCCATGCTTCAGAAATGGGTGAAATAAACATGGCTGTTGTTTGAAACAAAGTAAGAAACAATCTAACACTCTCCATCAACTTAAAAGCAACCAGCCTCAGTGGCAATAAAGCAGCAACAGCGTGTGAGACTCCTACTCTGGAATCATCCCAAAAGCGTTGCCTTCGTTTTTAAAGCGACAACTGCTCTGTCAGCTTCTTAGCATTCCCCAGAATGTCCAACTAGTTCAGGAGATGGTGTGAAAAGTCCTGCATGCTCCACCTTTATTACATGAGGAGAGAACAAATTAAAGCCACAACAGAGTTGCCAATGTACAAAAGAAGATGCAGGTCACAAAGTAAAAGAGTCTCAGCAGGAGGAAACAGTCCTCAGCAATCAGGAGAAACGAACAACATGCTGCATGTCTTTTCTTTTTAAAGTCAACTATTTGGGTGGGAGCGTCCAGCTAAGAGGCAGCACAGTCTATTCAGAGGCATTCAGAGATGCTTTCTATGCCCATGGTACTAAGTTCTGTGTTACTGACAGAATCCCCTCTCAGCCTTTAGCTTTGCAACAAGATGAACACATAAAATTCATGCAAGACCCATTAGATAAATGAGACAATACACTGAACTTGAAATGCACAACCCCAAAGCACTACACGGTTTTTTTTCTGCACAGCAGAGCTGAGCTAGTACCAATGACAGGCCCAGTCGATGGACAGACTTCCTTTGCTGCATTCAAAGCACCACGACTTAACAGTCCTGTAAACCTTTCTGCTTAATAATCAGTTTCACATCTCAAGTATTTTCCATGCTAAGATTCCTAACAATGCACTCAAGGATGCCCTGTACACCAAGACAGGAATAGCCTAGTGCCAAATTGGAGGAATCGTGGCATGAATTCTCCCAGGCACACTGACATGAAAGAGGATACGGCAATTTCAGAAACTGGCAGGAACAGGAAACACATGGACCTAGACACACAGCTAAGCTTCGCTGCAACACTCTACAAACTTCCTCATAAACCTTTTGGATTCTGGGGCCTAGAAGGGTCCTGCAGAAAACATCTTCATTAAAAATGCTACCATGGAAATAGCAAAGAGGCAGATTTCCTTGCCTGTAGCGGACTTCAGCCCTCATTCAAGAAATGCCTCAGGAAACATAGTGCTAGGGCTTGTAAAAACACTTTGTGAGAAGCAAATATCGGAAAAAAGCAAAGATCACTAAAAGGGGGTGACATTCTCGAAAGCACTTCTGCAAAGAAGTCCCCCAGAAGTCTTCACAAAGCACCTAACTCAAGTCACAATTCGCTGAGTGCTGCTGCCCCATAAATCCTTTCAGGAAATTTTCAGGCACAACAGGCTAAGAGCATCTGGCTCCTGCACAGTGCATGTGTTTGCCTGCTGAGTCAAAATGGGTTGGAGACGACGTATTTGCTCACAGAGCAATACACAGCAGCAGATTTTCAGGCCTTTGGGACTTGTGGTCTGCAAGCTGCCCAGCAGTGGAAATGATGATGACATTCTCTTGTTACACTGTCAACATCACTATCATTGGGTCTCCCCTTAATAGGATTCCTACTCAAACACAGGGAACAGCAACAGTGCTAAGAGGAAGAACACCCCATTGCTATTCCCTCAGGCAGCTCCAGTAAAAAGGAACAGATTACCTTCTCCATGCAGCAAGGATGGATCCAGCAACTCCATCATGTATTCGATTTCAGTATCCAGCTCCAGCATATCACACTGGGCTAGCACATACGTCAGCACAGGCAAGAAGTCATCAGCTCCGTACAGCCTCCCTGGGTTGAAGGGAACACAGGCAGTGAGAGACAAACCACATTTTTTTACCAGTTTCCATGTTTGAAAGGAAAGCGCTCTTTTGTGCCTTGTCTACCCATCATGTCTGTATTACTCCAGACCCCCTTAAAGTTACCAATGTGCAGCAAAGAGAACATCACCTGACACTCACTGCACAGGAGACCAGTTCAAACCTGTTCTTCAAACAGGCACAAATCTTAATCTTATGATGCACATCTTGAGGCATGCAAGGGAAATTTAGAGACTGAGCTCACCCTGGCACCAGCTCAACTGGTGAACTGGTAAAAAGCCTGCCATGCCAGTCTGGCCTGACCTTCACCTGCACTGCTACCATTGCCTAGGAGGTGATGAATAGGCATTTTCTTTATACATCCGGAGATTGCATCTACTTTCTGGAAGCATCTGGACACAAACACCAGTCTGAGTATGAATTCCACAGCAGAGAAGCCTGAATATAAAAGCCTATTAGATTTTACAATAAGACTCATTTCCTTGACAGACAATTGACAAAAACACCAGTGAGCAAGGTCTCCTGTACCTGTAGGGAGCCTACAAGAAAGACAGGGAGAGACTGCAAGGGCCTGGTGTGACAGTGACCCATGAAGACTGTGCCATACCTAGGCCTGTCTGTGCTCCTGGCACTTCTCGTGCATTTTGACTTTCTGTTCAGAAATCACCACGTGGCCAAATCTTTGGGTCTGGCAAAATGGTGTTTACTGCAGAACGGATGCGATGGTCACTCAGAACTGCCCGGAGCAGGAGCCAGCTTGTAACTGGTGAAACTCAGTGACACCAGCTGAGGCACACGGTCCAGCTAACACACTTACTTGCTGGGAGTACAGATGCTCAAACAGCTGCTGGCTCAATGCCACCTTTAACAAAATTTATATGACAAAACAAGACAGCACAATGACCACTTGCCACATCTTAGCCCAAGTCTCCCAGTGTGGCACTTAATCAGCAGCAGCCTCTCAGAGTTTTCCTTCTGCATGCTGGAAACGCCTTGCTCAACGCAATAACGCCACAGTACGAAAGAGGAGTTTACAGAATCTCAGGCCAAGATCCCTATATCCATTTTTAAAATGCAGAATTTCGAAATGCAATAATAAGCTGGGCAGGAGCTCAATCCTAAATCTTATAAAAGTACCTGGGGAGCTTTAACAGCCATCAGCTTTCATTATTCATCTCAAATCTCCAAAGAAAGCAGGTGTCTTGATCTGCACCAGACCCAGCTGCACATGCAGTGCTTCCTTAGAAAGAAAACTGCCAAGACCCTGCAGCAGCTTATACGCATTTAGGGGAAAAAAAATCTCCCACTACCACAGCTTTGCTACACTTCAGCTCATGACCTGTCGTAGCAGTATGCAAGAGAGAATGTCATCATGTCATCCAGCACAGCATTTTGGACCACTGACGGCTCAGGAGGTAAAAACTACTGGTCAGCAGCGCCATTTCAGTATTTAGGTTTCAAAGGTGCTTTTGGATTCTTTTAACAGGGCAGAAATAGATGTCATTTCTGTTCCAAAAGCATGACAGAAAATGCCCAAATGAGAATACTCAGTGTCACAGAAAGCCAAAAATACTGGATTAGAGGCTGCTTTTCTCCACCCATTAAGACAAGACCCTTGTAGTTGCCATACTGCATACATGCTATTGAATTACAGTAGCTGAATATATGGTGTTACCTCTATTAAAATTTGCAGAAAAATACTCATTTAGAATCAGTGTTAAATTCAAGGCTCACAGGACAGCCTTTCTGCTGGGAAACTTCAAAAGCCTCAAAAAAAAAGTTAAGGAAAGCCGGTCTTTTCCAGCTGCTTCACATCTATAGGATGCTCTGCCTGGAATGACGTAAAACAATGTCCTGTTTTGCAAAGCTATCAGTGGCGAACTAGGAAGGGGTGTCACGCTGCTTTTGGTGTTGAATTATGCTAAATCCAGTCTGACTCATCAACCCCGAAGTTAAACATCCTGACAGAGATGTGCCAAATATAACTCATTTTTATATAACTATATCTGGTTTGCCATCCCTAATCCTGTAGGACCAAACTGTACAAAGGTTCAATCACACCTCTACAATTCCTTAGACTTATTAAACCGTTGACAAAGTCTGGGCTAAAACTGAATCCAGCTGCACGCAGACTCCTCTCTGAGAAAGAGTTTAAGAAGCAGGAGGGTCCTTCCTGCACCACGAAAGGGCTTCTCTAATTAACTTTGTCTGAAGCTCCCATTCCACCCATGACAGCAACTCTGCTTCAGACTGGGTTGTTGAGATGTGCGGCCAGATAGCTCAGAGACAGCAGGTCAGAAGCAGAGAGGAAGAATTCCCCCTCAAAAGGGCAAGGAGAGGCTTCAAGAGCTTCAGCAGGAGACCTGTCTACAGCATGAGATGGGCTGATTCCTCTAAAAGACAACATCAGGTATGAAGCACCAGTGAACCTGAGCTGCCAGACGCACCGTACCTGAGTTATTCTCCATAACAGTGTAAATCAGTTTGCAAACTCTCAGCAGCAGCATGACTTTCTTTTCAGGTGAATACATCTTCTGCATAGTCATGAACTTGACTTTAATCTTTTCAATGTCCACAAAGTCTGGTGTTGGAACAAACACGCCCAGTTCCTGAGGATTCCTCTGCCGCACCAGCTGCAGGTTTTCCTTCAGTTGTTTCCAGGAACCATCCGTGGTATGAAACTCTTTCAACATCGCTTCAATGTGACCCTTCAACGGCTTCAGAATGCACTTATGCATGGCCTTCTCCAGCACAACATCTGCAATAGGAAAACACAAATCCAGCTGACTTCCCCCTCTACAGCAGAGCCAGCACTAACACAACCATTCCCTAAAGAGACTCTGTACAGCAAAACCTACTTTCTAAGGCCCATTTATTACACAAGCTGAGTTTCCAGATGTCTGTTAACACGAAAAGAGGCAGAGCAGAATCTGTACTCCACTGTCATTTTTGGCATTGTGGTAAATAAAAAAACCTGCACCCACACAGACAATGACCCACACAGACAGACTATGGATAGCTTAAAAAAAAAAAAAAGCTGTGGGTCTAGTAAAGTTTTTCTTTTGTTGGTCAGAAGTCTGCAAGTTTTATTTTACTTCAAGTTTAGACTTTAACTCCCAAACTTAATGTAAAACACAGTAAAAATCGTAATTTTTGTCTCTTTTGGCATTAAAACCTGTCCTTTTTGCATAGTTTCCATTGGAAACTATAACTCAACAAAGATTTCCTAAAACTTGGCTCGACTTTGTCAGGATCTTTATGAAGCTGGACAGATTACAGGCTTTAACCTACAAATGAAAACCAAGCTGTGTTTGTCCAGCTTCAGATTTCATCACACAAGCTTATATACAGCTTTGTCATCAAGTTCGAAGTTCTTTGGCAATAGTGTGCACATGGCACAGTAACCACTAACTCCAGGGCTTATTTTTAATTCTCGTTCTACTCCAGTTTTTCTTTAACCCTCATTCTCCATTTTCAAAGTATGGACTGCGTCAACAGAGAAAGCACTTTGCTAAATATTTTCTCTGCAAACCCTTACTTTAAAACCTGATTGCCTTCCCCAGCATCCTTATGGCAACACAGCTTACATCAGTTATTAGATTACACTGATTATCTGTACCATGGTGAGGAATGTTCCTGTGCCATCCCTGCAGGAGAGTGGGGCAGGACCAGAGCCTAGAGCAGGCAGATGGACCAGAGGAGCAAAAGGACTGAGAGCAGACAGAGGAGAGGCCGTGTCACTGCCAGGTCACATGTTTACACAAATTAGCAGTGGACATTCTTATTAGTAACGGTGACTCTTTGGAGTTTTATTAAACCTCATGCCCAGTTTCATTAAAACTCATGCCCATCCCAGGTTCTTTGCCTGTACTTCTGAGTTCTTCTTAGTCTACAGCCTCTTTCTTTTCTCCCTACTCTTTTTTTTTTTTTTTTTTTAAATCACATACTATTTCTAAGGCTTGGGATTTACACCCATACTCACACACTCTCCAAACAAGCATTATTCCATTTTCTTGCTTTTTTTCCCTTCATTTATCTTATCCTTGTGTCCAGCCCTTTCTCCTCTTGTGTCTCCATCCCTCTTACCCTTCACGCACTCCCCCTCCTCCTATGGTGCCTTGACTTCATATGTAGCATTTTTTCTGTGTTTTTCAGTAAAGGCACCAGAAAAGGTATGATCAGTCCGAGACATGTTCTTGGTGGCCTCACACAGCAGCCAGGGCTGGATCCAGCCTCCCACCAGACCAGAGCCATCAATTAGCAACACTAGCAAGTGGCAACACTTCAAACGACTGATCCTTATCTACTGTACTTGGTAGAGCCACACAATCAGCACCAAACCAGCCACATAAATAGAAGCATCACCCTTCTGCACAGGGACAGAAACTGCCTCTCCCTGCCGTCAAAGCAATCCTCAGGGCTCATGGGGCAGAAACAATTGCAAAACTATTTTCCACCAAGAAAAACACACGTGTCTCACCCATGGACGGGTACATTGGCTAAATTTCTGGAGTGTACAAATTGTTCCTTGCTATCTTCACTGATGACTATTTTTTTGACAATTAAGCTCACTTTATTTCTACCACCTGATCTTTTTAAATAGGGAGAACACCAACTGCTTAGCTTGTAAGAGGAATACCTCTGCAGTGTGCATTCCAACCGCCTGGTCTTGTTATTAAAGTAGTTAGTTGGTGCTGCTAAACATCATGCAAAGTGAGAGAGCTCTATCCCCGTGAAAGCTGAACACCCACAGGCTCCCACATGAATACCGAGCATGAGCCATCCTTCGTCTCAATAAAGAGGGGTCGGCACCACATTTGCTCCCAGGAGCCTTGGGAAATGCAGTATGTTTCTGTATGTGACTGATCCTCCATAGGAAGAGGAGGCAGAAGCAGTGCCTCCCCAGATCCCACATGAACTGGGGATATGCTGCTGGGAGAGAAAATTCCTCCCTTGAGCCCCAGTCCTTGGCTGGGGCCAGGCTCGTCGTCTGTAGGTGAGAAGTGGAAGGCTCAGGGCTTCTGCCCTCAACCCTTCAAAAGGTAGTGCCACTTCCACATATGACCCATGCAGATTTTTGCAGCTGCGCAAGATAGCAAGGAGGTTTCTTTCACATTTGCAATTTGTCACAGGCTCCAAAAGCTGTGCCTGGAAATTGCTTTGAAATTTACTTGATCACATTCCACAATTTCCATGGAAAACTGAAATAATTTTGAAGCAGCACAGACGAAGGGATGACAACTCCTGGCTGTGCTCAAAGCTCCACAAAGGCACAACAAAACAAAGGAAAACCGCAACAAACAAAAAGCCACCAAACCCCACACCAAAAAAAAACCAAAACAAAAACCCCACAAAAAAACCCCAAAACAGCACATAACCTTTTTTCCTCCTTAATGAATTCTTGGCACACACATAAGAACCACTGAGTTCTGCCCTCAGATGAAAAAGTGGCAAAATCTAACAAGCTGGTGAGGCCAACAGCAGCAAGATTGATAAGGGCTGGACGGTTTTGTTCATGGTCAACAGTAATACCCGTATGTATCTTAATAAATACAAAGCTGACAAAAAAAATTATTATTATTAAAACCTGGTGGGACAGCACTTCCTGTGATCTGAGTCTTAGAACAACATTCAGTGTCATGGCACCTATGAGCATATTCGGGGCAAGAGCATGCAGCCGGTGACCCTGTCTTCAGCACTGCTGCTTCTGGCTGCTTTCAGATAAAGGTGTTTGTGGGTAAGATCCCACAAACCGGTTCTCAGCCAGCAGCAGTTTTCACTGTTCGAATTCTAATGGCCACAAAAAAGTATATGAGGGTTTCCCAGGCGAATCAGCATCTAAGTTGTGAGTCGAGGACTGATTCTTTACCTTAATATCTGTATATTTTTAAGATCCAAATCAGCAACAAAAATTCTGTTTACTTCAGAAGCATGTTTTCAAATATCCTCTCAGGATGCTTACCACTCCAAAACCAAAACAGACACTCCTCAGATAATTTTTTTTTAAACTGAATATAATGTGAGCTGAACACTGTGTATCGTTCCTGAAACGATGCTTATAATTAGCCTGTAGCCTCAAAATGGGAACTGGAAGTGCTTTGATAAATGAATTGTAAAGGCCAGCCAGCTAGTTTCGTTGTGACTTGTGAAAACACATCTGTATCCTGTGCTGACATGCTATTTTTGTTTTGCTGCCAAGCACACAAGTCTGCATCTAGACAGGACAACATATTAGTCATTGCCAGTGTCCTTACACAGCCTCTTTACGACCCGCACTTCCGCAAATTGCAGGCACGCTCTCACCTTTTCCAGGATCTCAGTTTCCCTGCTCCCTACCAACTATTGCTGCTCCACTGAGATGACTGTCATATTCCAGGCCCTGGATTTACACTCGAGCCCTGTTTACCATGGTCAAACCGTTCATCGGGTAAATCATGGGTCAGTAGGAGACTGAGTGAGCCCGAGAACCACCACAAAAAGGCACGGTCCTGCACAAGTCACTGCCTAAGAGCTGAAAGCAGAAAGTTGCTTTGCAATACCACAGCATGTCTATGCATGACACCTAACTACACTGCATTTGCTTTATTGTGTATTCTCCTAATACCTTGTAAGTTCATTGACTGGCGTGACCAACACAGATCTATTTTAAGGCAAGTCGCGTCAGGATGGCCAAGCATCCAGTTCTTGGTGGGTGCAGACATGGCAATCTCCTCCACACGAGCAGGACTTGAAAGTAAGACCTCACACAACCCACGTTCCTTGCTAATCAGCACATCCCTGAAACCAGAGGTGGGACTGAGGTGTTTGATGTACAGGCAATGGCGGCAGAGATTCAGCAAGTAGGAATGAAAGGTAAGCCTCCCCCATCTGACCTACGCAAAAGCACACCAAAGAATCACAAAGCTATCTGTGCTAAGTGTGTTCTGCTTTATCCAGCTGTGGGTTACTTTAAACTCATGCTATAGCTGTGTGGTAAGCACTTGTGTTCTCTTGAAGGAGCAGGAAAGAAAAGAAGCAGGGAAAAAGTCACAAAGGAAATCCAGGGGACGGTCAGAAAAAGAACCTGGTCCCCTGCTTCTGCTCAGTGCTTTTACCACTGCTTCCTACTTGCCCTGCCCTGCCACTCCTCTGGTGAAAGGAGGTGCACTGAGGGACATGTTTGTAAGACTAAACTCAACATGAAAAGATGCTACAATGAAGGACAGGACATCAGAACAAATGTAAAAGCACCTAAGAAGTAACACCGTGGAAAAACCAGTTGGCATGAGTTCTTCAAGCAGAAATAGTGACATATCATTCTAGTTCCTTTAGGAGAATAACTGGATTAGTAAAGAAGAGGGGATCTGGGGCAGGCTGCTGCTTAACCTTTTTAAGGCACATAGGCCTAATTCTGTGCACCTTCCATACAAAACAGACAAGGGAAACACTGTCTTGCCATAGTAACCAAAAGCTCGGTGCATCAACAGGTGCATAGAATACTGCACTGAGAACCCAAGTATCCATGGCTGACTGCCAAACAAGACAGACCTTGGAAGAGAGGTACCATGGGGGTCAGTCCTGGGCTTCAGTTAATTAGTATGTCCAGCTCTGTCTGCCTGCAACTCCTCTGTACAGACCCTAAGGCCCTGCAACAAGGCACGGACTGCCAGGAAGGGGCCAACACATCCTCTCCAAGCTTCTTTAGCATTCAGCATTTAAATATCCCTATCATATTAGAAATACCAAAAGAAGTAATAGATGGTATTGTTTCGGCACGTTCCCACATGATCAGTTAGCCCCTTACTTACAAATGGTTTAAACCAGTCATTTCTTGGCTCAGGGCCAGATTCAGGCACTGAGACTGAACTTGTTCAGACGTCAGATCCCACTTGGCAAAGTGACAACATTCAACTTGACTCTGTTTTGTTCAAAGCCAAGGAAAGACGAAAAGACAAACAAAAACTCCCAAACATTTGCTGGTCAAGCAGCTCTGGACTATCAGGGTCTCCTCGGACCAGTCCAGGTCTTTACTCTGTGGATACAAATTGAGGTGTGGATGTCTTTTAAAAAAATAAATTGCATTCATCCTTAAACAATAAAGAGCCATGTGCCTTACTCTTGATTCTGTCCCAACACTGGAAGTCTCATCGCTTCAGGGAGGCTTAACAACCTAAAGTGCTACGGTTAGGTGGCATCTGCCAGGACTGATTAGAAACCCTGGAGCCTATTTTCCCAATGGTTTTGCAGAAATTTAACTATTTGATGGGACCCTTATCTGGGAAGCTTAAAAGATCTGCTGCAGAAGTCTTTTGCTTGTGGGAGTTCATGACACAGTACTAGAAGAAAAGCTACACGATCAAAAATATCATTACGGAGACACGGGAAGACGTTCCAAACACCGAGGGCTTCACTAAGCCTGGGGGTGCTGTTCCAGCACCTACTGAAGTTCAGGAAACAAAAGAGGGTTAAAGCAAAGCCTGAATGACTCAGAAAGGAGGAGTATTGTCCCAGAAGCACACATCCAGCACCAGGCTGACACGTTGGAGGAAAAACCTGCACCACGGAAGTGTGAACTGACGAGGGAGGATAAATCACTACTCACAAGGTTAAAATCTGGGCTGCAATTCCATATTGAAATAGTCAAGGAAAACTGTGGACGACAGGCAGGGCTCTACTTCATAACAGGCTCTCCACAGGGATGACTAAATTTTGCTGTCACGTTGTTATCTGCTTAGATCAGCAACATCTGATGCTCCTGATCCACTGCAGTTGTTTGCTGGCTCAAGCCAAAGGCAGCAGATGATTCAAAATCAAGTTCTTTCTTTGTTTAAACCAGCGCACTTTATAAATTAATTGTGTTTAGTCACATGATCAAAACCAGACTTTCTGCCGCTAAAGAAAACCAGGGCAGTTTTAGTTGTTATATTTTTCACACCTTGTGCTACTCCAAAGTCCGAAACATTTAATAGCAGACAACATTTTTTCCAGTCTTGGAACAGTCCTGGGAGACCCACAGACCGATTAAACCACACCCATGTGAAACAAAAAGTACATAACAAACTAGGCTTTCAGACTATTACAGCCAAACTCGATCTGTACTGCTTTGTCAAATATCCAGCACTCTACAGGAAAGCAGGCAAAAATGTGCCGCATCCCCTGCTTAATTCGGTGCCTTTTCTTCCATGTAACGCCCACCTAACAGTCTTCATCACTCTAGTGAGAATATTACATGTCTCTGAGTCTCAATACTGGGGACACTCTTCACATTTTTGTATTTGCTTTAGCACTCCTCGTGACTTTTGCTTGACTTTGTGTAAATGAAGTTGAGGTTACGTGAGAATACCTCCTCTTGGTCAAGGACAGAGAGAATATCAATACAAAATTACCCTCTAGTCTCAGAGAAGGAAGTATCTGCCAGTTTTGCACTGAGCCAACTGTTGAGACACTGGGGTATGGAGAAAAACAAGCAAATTAGGACTGAAGTGAGCTCACAAGGAAAATATTCTGCCCTGAGGCGTGTTTACCTCTTAAATGTGGCTTACAGGCTCTTTCACAAATACTGCTCAGACTCTGCAAGAGAGGCATCGAGATTTATGTAGCAACAATGATTTCACTTTTCTGGATACACAAATCTCTCTCCCCTGTTAAAATATATGTCCTAACATATAGCTCATCTATAACCACTTACAAACACATCTAACAGAGAAGTACAGAAAACGAGAGATCAGCAGTCCCTTCTCTTGCACACGTTTGTTTTCTAAAACACATATATTTTTATTTAGTTTCAAATGCAGGGATAGTACAGCTTTGCCAGAAGTGACTAAGAATGTCTGTAGGAATCAGATTCATTTCAAAACTAAGTTGTCGTAAAATGTCTCTCCGCTCTTAAATGTCACTGGTTTTGAATAAATTCTAGTTCTACAGCTACAATCCATACAGTTAGGTTTGGACCAAACATTGAGATATGTCCACCCAATTCAGAGAAAAATACATGTGTCCCAGCAAATAAAGGATTCTCTATTGTTAACAGTACAGCAGGTAAAAAAGTAATAATTACGGGTAAAAAGTCCACATTGCACCTATTTTAAGGGTAACTTCTTATGAACAACTTCAAGTAGTGTAATCACTCCAAGCTGACAGGGTGATTCGGGGCGGGAAGGGTAGGGGGAGGTTGTTTTTAAGACTCAAATACTCAGTGGCTCAAGCTCTACTAGCCAAGCTAGCCCCACCTTTTTGAACTCGACAAGGACTACCACTATAAACACAGATTACACATTTTCACCTTCCCCCCAAAACACAGGACAGTGTTTCTTACCTATTTGGTCTTCTGGAATCAGTGATTCAATTGGGGGATCAAGTTCGGAACTTTGGGACAAATAGTTCTTGACTTGGGTCATGAACTGACGAATTGTTTGCAGCATATCAGTACTTGAAACATGGCACTCCTTGTTTTCTTGGAGAAAGCTGACATAGTCCTGTACTAAGCACCCAAAATAGGTGCGTTTGTCCCGGGACATCTCTGCAATTTTCTTAATCATCCTCTTCTCAGGGGTCATGAAGGAACTGAAAACTCCGCTGACTTTCCGTAGCTGAGATTTCACAATCTTGGGGAGAACAAACGAACTGCTTCTTTTCTTCTTGGGCTTCAAAGGGGGTGCCATGCTCTCCTGGTCACTTTCCCCCTCAAAGTCCTCCAGGCTGCTGTTGGTGTCCCCCTCATAGCCGAAGAGTGGCATGCTCCGATCGAAGTCCAGCGAGTCCGACGAGGAGGTGGAAATGCTCATGTCGCTCAGTCTCTGCCGGCCTCCATTCCACGGGATGTGTGACTCAGAGATGGCAGCCGCCGTCTTTCTGGGAGCCGCTGGAGCCGGCTCAGGCAGGGTTTCACCTGGAACGGCAGCTGCCTCGGGCACACGCACGGAGCCGGGCCGGAGCAGCACCGCACTCCTGGAGGCACCGTCTGCCTCGGAGCACACAGCCTGCTTCTTCAGCCGAGGAGGCGGTATTGGGGTGGGCTTGTTCTGCAGCAAATCCAAGCCTCTCTCCTTCTTATGGTTGACTGTTTCTGGCATGCTCGCCTGCTTTATAGTCCTGGAAATCTGTGGGCTCGTGAGGCTGCTATTAATAGCAGGAGGTGGCGGCCGGGGCGGGGGGGAGCGAGGCCTCGCTGTGCCATTCACGTCTGGAGTTCTCGGGCTCTGCCTTTTCAGACTTCCACTGACATCCTGGCTGTGCACTTTCAAGAAGAGGGGATTAATGAAACACAGCGCTCCGTTGGTCTGGCTGCACTCCAGCTCTGAAGGCGTTCTGGTTCGTATAGAATGCACTCCATTTATAAGGCAGAGCTGGCGTGAGTCTTTGTGAGCACTGTCCAAAGGCACAGGCCTACAGGGAGGTGAAGGATCCGGGGGTTTGCTGTTAGCCAGGGAGCTCCAAAAGTCTGAAAATCATCATTGCATTAATGTAAGAATGCAAAACAGCATGCAGATGGCTTTCAGAACATTCAGCTCAACATCAGTTTAAATAAAGTATCAAGAAATTTAAGGCAAGGTTTTAGTAATTCAAAGGGGGGAAAAAATCCACGTGAACCTCTTAAAGCGCCACCAAACATAACTGCATGCTACATTCCTGGGGCTGCTGTTACTCATTTGTAAGTACTATGGCCAATGCATATCTTCCAATCACCCCACTAAACTTAAAATTAAACTGAGAATCAAAGAAATGAATGGAGACTGTAACAGAATACTTTATATGGCTTGAGACTGAAAGTGAGATTGAGGCTGAATTAAAATTGAGACTTTGAAACACAAACTGCTCACCAGCATCTCACTCAGGAGGAAAAAAGCAAGATTCTCAGCTGGTATTAGTAAGCTCACTTCATTGAAGACAACAGTTAAATTTATTTACACCACCTAAAGGCCACTTATGGCAACTCTACAAGTATCTTGGTTTGGTTTCTTTTCATAGCAAACACGTTACACTGTACATGAGAAGGCAGCTCACGCTTTGCCGTGGTGGGTGCACACATCACCTTTAGCTATGCAGACCAAGCGTTCAAGTGTCTAATAAGGGCACTGGCCTGCTGCCCTGCCTTTGCCGTGGGGACAGCTTGCCTGAGAATGCAGACATGCAGCGACACATAAACAGACCCAGTGTGAAGTCCACATCAGCATCATGGAAAACTGATGCTACACCAGCAAGTTGCAGCTGCAGCCTCTGCACTTATCCCAGCAAAGCATCAGCGTGTTTGTGCAGCCGAGTCACTGCTGAAGAGCATCGGTTTCTGAAGGTATAAAGACTGAAACCAGATGCCCTTGAAGGCAGCAATCATGCTGAAATAAGGGAAGAATTGCAGAGGAGCGAGATTTAGCTAAAATTTGCCAATCTTGACTTGGTCCTTTTCCCATAGTGTGTCAAGAGGGCTCACTGGAGGCCACTGAGCAATGACACCTGGGCCCAAGTGCACAAATGCCAAGCATCCACAACAGGTCCGTGGCCAACAGCTGTGTCCTGCCTGTGGGGCAGAAGACAGGAAACAGCCCATGGTGACAGGCCATGGCCAGAGAATGTCTATAGGCATAGGCATGTTTCTTTACATAGTCATGCCAAGTTGCTGGTGTTCCCAGCTTCATGACTTCACATCCTGCCTGCAGATCTCCCAGGGCCTGTGCCTGGCACGTGGCTTCTGCAAACACATGTGATGTAAGCACTGCTGCAGGTGCTGCTGCAAGGGAGACAGAGAGAATCGTATGTTCAGCACATGAAACCTTACAGGTTGGCAACAGCCTTGAAGTCTTTACTGAAAAGTTCCTCCTGATGTGGTTTGCTGGGCTACATGCTGTTGACTTGTGTTGTGCAGCTCTCCCTCTGAGACTACTGCACAAGAGAGCTCTGACAGGGGATACAGCCCTGTGTTCACACACCATGGGGTTTTGTGCCTCCGTGCTCCTCAAAGAAAACTCACACTTTACAGAAAGGGCTGTTGGGAGTTTTTAGGCCTCTCTTGAGTGCACAGCATCGAAAGGCTGGCTTTCTGGTGTGCTCCTCTGCACACGGACACCTAAAACTCCATCAAAATCTCAACTTTGTTGCCTCCTTTTAGCTCATGGAAACTGTGATTTTAATCTGGTGTATATCAGGTAATTGATCCCAAATACAGCAACCACACAGACACTGATCCATCCATCTCCTCATCAGCTTTCAAACGTAGTAGCTAAAGAAAAAAACATACACAATGCAGAGACTGTTCAAGAGCAAGACTAATTCTGCAGCAAGTAGGCCACAGTGCTCTGGGGTACTGGTGACAAAGCGTAGTTAGCCTGGAGAAATTGATCAATATTACCATTATCATCCTCTCTGGAGAGACTCACCTCATGTTACTTTAAGGCTTCCATATGTCACTGGCAGACTGTCTTCATTACACTCTGTGCCAGTCAGACCTTTTACTTTCTTTTTGCCATCTAAACATTGACCTCAATAGTACATTTGACTCTATTCCCATGATGATCCATAGTTTCACCTGATTACCTAAACTTGCAGACAAGCAGTGCAGAAGTAATTTCTCTCCTCTCTAAAACAAACCCTTTCTTTAATTGCGTGGCTCCTGCAGCAAACAAAAATGCAAAGCACTGTGACACATCCCCGGGTACGGCTTTACTGCAAAGTCCTCCCACCAGGCAGTTCAAGAGATCCTCATGCTAACACTGATTTAGAGAGGATCCTTTTCAAAACCAAAGATGATTAAAAAATCTACTGCAACAAAGACTGCTGACAGTCAGCCTTCCCTTCCTGGAGAAGGAAATGAGGCCACTCAGCACTTTGCTCAATGTGGAGTTGCTCAATGATTCATATGGGTGTTGCCCAAGTTTCAAATCCCACCAGTCTTTGCAACCATCTCCTCTGAGATCAAGGTATGCTTTACAATGAGCCTGTGCTCGGCTGCAGCAGCCAAGCGATGCAAGGACATGTCCTTGCATTGTGTTTTGGTATTTTAAAAATTTTGCCTAACCCCTGCCCATGGATACATTCTACACATCCCATATGCACACTCCTCATTTTCTAAATATGCCACTTCATTGAGGCACTGATCTCAAAATTCGCTATTTTAAGTTTGCATGTCAATCTGAACAGAAGTTTTATTAACAGGGGTCCTCAGTTCCTGCACTCTCCTCACAATAAATTATAAAGCTGGTGCCTGCTATGTGAGCATGCAGACAATGTTAGGTCTTGGAGCAGAAGCCACATCAACCTCTGTGTGGGGACACTGAGTTTTGCTTTGCCCAAGGGCTGCCCAGAGAGGGGAGAGAAGAAAGAAGAGGGAGCACTAACAAAAATATCACAGAAGGCACAGAAGAAAGGAAGAGCACCAACCCTTGTCCAGAAGAAGGTCTGGCCTTCCCAAATGAGAGAAACTGCTTTTTTAAACTAAATTTGTATCATCACTAACCAAGACAAACTATTTACTGATACAGCCTATTTTTCCAATGTTACAGGAGCGCTACAGGGAAGGACATCTATGTTGAGAACTACTTACTCAGTCCAAGCTGAGCAATCTCTTCAAGTTCAGCTTCTGTCTTTGCTGCAGCAATTGCATGAGGCAACTTCAGTGTGAATGGAAGGACATCCCTGTTTTGAAAGAGAAAAACCATTATGTTTTCCAGCAACATTCATAGTTTTAAAAGTTGGGGTTTTTTTCAGCACTGGCAGTGGCTGCTCTCTGTCATATTCTATGTATCTGACATTTTTCCATTATGCTCCAAAAATTCCTTTCACCAGCAATTCCAAGAAATGGACTTTGCAAGCTAGCTTATGATTGCTTTTAAATGGGCTACCAAGCACTTAAAAAAGCATCACAGGATATTAGCTAAAGTAAAGTTCAGTTCGGCACCACTTCACAGTTGGGTGGGTAAAATCATAGCAGCCTCTCAATCATCAGAATGAAGTAAGACAGAGACACTCGCTTCCAAGACTCCCCTCTGATTTCTACCATTACCTTCTAAGGCTACCCAGGAATATTTGCAGATTGGCAACATAAATATCATGCTGAACCACATCCTCAACACTCATTTTCTGGAGACAGTCTAGCAGATGTGACTTGGAGCACAGCATCATCTTACCTGCTAATACAGTAGAAAGCAATGAGTCTGAACAAATCAGCAAAACTTATTCCAGACCCCTCCAAGGAAAACGCTGCAAAGAAAGTTACAGGAAAGAATGACACATAAATCCACTGTTTCTTAAAACAGTTTGATAAAACACATCTTAGGTTTTAGCGTGAAGTTAGTAAGTTTTCACCATCAAGCTAGCTACTATTTGGTTAAGAGAAAATAACTCTGTAGAGGAGTACATATCCCTGTTGAAGGCATTTTCAAGGATCTACTGACAATCTTGGTGGCTGGTTTGCTTTTGTGTTCCAAGCATATGGTCTAATTCCTTGTAAAACAGATGAAGTGTGATGAGGCCTGCACAATGTTTTGCTAATAGGCAACAAATCAATAACTGAGGCTTCGTTTGTCCAGTGTACTAATATGCCTAATTTTAAATCTCTTATTTCCTCTTCTTGAATTCTATTCTACTCACTTGTCCTCACCCTAGGCGTGTAGAGCCAAAAGGGAGATAAATTTTCATTCACTCCAAGAAAACATTTTAACCTGAAAACCACTGAAAAACTCAGACAGTTCTGTTGCATGCCATTGACTTGCACAAAGGGAGAGGAAGGAAGACACGGGCACTGCCTTTCATTTTTCCCCACCTGACATCATTGTTTCTTATTGATACAAATGCCTGCTCTCAGTAGTAATGACGATTGTTACTCAGGCTCTCTCTGATGCCAGTAGCAAATCTCACCCAATGACTACACAGGATAAGCAGAAGCAGCTCCTAGAGTGAAATGATCCAGATCTTTTGCCTCTGGTCTAAAACCTCAGCTATGACACATGGCTAAAACCATCAGCAAATACTTCCCCCTTGTGGAAGAACGTTGCTCATAAAAGACAGTATATAATTATTTTCTAGATGGGAATTTATTAGCATAACAAGCCTATAAACACAGCCTTAGACTACACTTAGATCAACTATTAATGACAATTTTCTCTTCTCTTTGCCTTGCCTTGCTTGTAAATGGAACTAAAACCAGACACACAGAATTAACTTTTTGTTCCTGGGTGCAGGGGAGGGAGAGATAAAAAAAGAAAAAACTCAATATCAGTTTACAAACAGAAATAGAAATTAACTATAGACTCTGTTTCAGGGATGTTTAACTGAAATTGTTGCTAATTTTCTCCCATTTTAAAATTAAAATTAAATAATAAAATGAAAAAAATTAAATATTTGCTCCACTTGCAGTTTCAGCACCACATACACTCACCAGCTGCAGCTTCCTTTTTTCATTCCTAAATCTCAAACTTATTTTTCACACCCTCCCTTCTAAAGATATGAGGGCATTATTGGTTCAAAACAATTTGGAGCGCTAACATTTCTACTAAAAAAAGAAAGAACAAATATAGTTTGAATTAAAAAGAGAAAAAAATTGATCTTGCAACAGAAACAGTTCTAAAGGGCTAAAATCCATTTAGTTATTACACAAAAAAAACCCAAAACAAAAACCCAAACAACCAACAACAAAAACCACCACTAACAAAAACCAAACCAAACAACCCATCCCACACCTAAATTGCAGACAGAGAGAGCTCATGACAGAGTTGCTTCCAAGAACAAGGATGAGCACAAGGAAATGCAAAGACATTTCATTGAAAGCAGACAGGATTACAGACTGTTTCTACAAAAGACATGTAAGTTTCTAAGAGGATAACTACCCATAAAAAGAAATTAATCCTGGATTCAGTAAGGTACACAATGGAAATATTCCACTTGCAGCAACCTTAAGTGTTTCTGTATGTCTCCTCTCCTCGTGGCAGAATATGCCTGACCCACTCCCAGAGCCCACCTCAGAGAGCAGTGCAGGCAGCCCATGACATTACTTGCACGACTTTGGGTACCCTCTGCTGTGGGTTTCAGCAGTGTGAATGCTCCTGCATCCCACAGGGAAAAGGTATCTCAGGAACAGCTGAAAAGTATGTCACTCACAACTTACTGTATGTACTTTCTTTTATGGCAAATTCTTTCAGGCAGGCCCCACAGTCACTAGACAGACGCAGAGAGATGACTTTCTTCTGCAGCCTTGCAGATTTCCTAACCAGAAATATCTGTTGTGGAGAAGGCAGAAGGACATGATTTTAGCTTCATCACGGATGCCAGAATAAATACAGATCACATACAAAAAGGAACCAGAACAACCTCATGATGTCTGCTCTAAAACATACCATAATTTTACTTGGTCATTACTGTATTGGGTCCAACACCATTGGGTGTAAAATGGCAGCACAACATTTGGGAAAAGCACGTCCTCAAAGAAACTGAGATTCTTCTTACCCCAGGAGGCTGTGTCTGCAAAATTTCCATGGCTTCAGTATCACTCAGACCAAGCTGCAGCCACACAGGGTGAGTATGGAGGAGCTTGTCCAATATGCTTAGTTTGTTGGATAGGCTGTCATATCCAGAGTCCCGGGGGCAGCTTTTTACATCACTTTTCTCAGGAGAGACATTATCCATGTCCTTTATAAGACTGTGGAAAATGTAGAAAAAAAAATTAGACACGCTAGCCTCCTAGGAACAATCACTCAGATCAGTGAATAGAATTATCACAAAGCTCATGGTACTGCTGACACTCTGGGCTGGGACTTCTCCTGCTGAGAATTCTTATATTCAGCACACACAAAGATTCTCTCTAAAGGTTCACAATTCAAAGCCAGCTTCAAAACAAGCCTTAGCATTCTTCTGTGAGGTGGGAGAAATTCAGCCATCACTTCAGGTACTGTGGTATGTGCTGATGTGATTAACTGAACATTTTGCTTGCCTTCTTTGCTGTGCTAATATACAGAAAAACTTCTCTTCAAGGATATTTATGCAATTCAGACATTTCTATTCCCAGATAGATTGCAAATGCTGCAACCCACAGAAATCTTGCTCTCTCCTGCCTGCCAGAAAAATCTGTTCAATACTCTGACAACGGAGCAACCCACGACCTATTGGTGATCGCTGCACCAGACACAAGAACTTTGTCTGTTTGGAGAGATTATTTTCACAACACAACTCCACAAACCAGCATCACTTCACCTTATGCCCAGACTACCGTCTCTGCTCCAGCAGCAATCTTGCCTTCACAGCTGCATATCCATCTTTGCTCCCCTCAGCTAAGAGGTCAGAGTGAGAAGTGAGATGAAGTGAAAAAGAGATGAGGAACCCAAAAAAAGAAACAAGAAAAAAAATGATAAACTCCCAAATAACCCTCCCTAAGGCACAGCTTCCTTAAAAAATCGAAGTTGCAGTCACTTCTTACTGTATTGTACTCCTGCTAAGTTCTGTAAATATTTATATTTTTTCCATTTTGTCATGAAAGGTCCTTACCTTGCATTTTAATACAACACTTCCCAGGATCAGAAACAAGTAAGGAATTGTATATTTACGCTCCAAATTCCTTTGGCTGTGGATTGACTGCTATGTGAGAAATAAAGGCTAAGCAAAGTGTGAATGCTGCAAAGTAATGTAAGGTTAAAATTTATTTGGGGCAGGGCATCTAAAGTTACTTCTACATTCAGTAATGAAGTACAGTTCTTGGAGGCTACAGATTCTTGTTATTAAAAATCCAAATAAACAGAATACTTTGAGGACTCCTTTTGTTATGCAAAGCTTCACCTCCATCCATATAATACAGAACACCCAGTACAAGTGCACGTGTTGCTGACTCAAATTTCTCATTTTTGAGCTAGAAGTACATCCTGTGATTCTCCCCATGCCAGAAATCACTATGGAGCAGCTACTCTGGTAACAGCCTCCTGATGACAAAATTTAGGAACAGACAAAAAGCTCCCTGCAAGCTCTGTCAACTCCCTGAGATGTCAGGCAGAGGATGTGTTCCACTTACAGACTTTGCTGTGGCAGGAGAGGCCCTGGGCGGCAGAGGGCAACACAGCTCCACCTCCCCACTGCACACTGCGCATCTCTTCTGAATTCTGTGCTTCTGGACAGGTCCTAAGCATCACTAACAGCATCTACCATCTTCATTAAGCCAGCTACTGTACCCTCAGCAAGTGGGTACAGAGTTCACAAGCACAGGAGCACTGAATACTTAAAAAACAAACAAAAAGCCTCTCTGGCCCCCGCAAAAAAACACCCACACCAAAGAAAACAAGCCAAACCAAATTAAAACCCATCATCCAAACAACAGAAAAAACCAAAATTACCAAACTGCTTTCTTCAAGCTTGGCTCAGCAACATCTCTGGAGAGGGCAAGCAAGGAAAGTAAATGGGGAAGAGAACTTTCACTGTATGATCAGATAAGAACAGGCAAAATCATTTGACTTCTCATTACCTGGATCAATTACCACTAACAGCATTTGCCTCTTTCTTTTTTCCTTGTTCTGTTTACTTACTTATGATGTGATGCTTTTCAGATTTCCAAGGCATCTCAAATGCAGATGATTTCCACCACCCCACCACTCCCACCCCCCCAAGCATCAGAAGCTTTTATGAACTGCCAGTACATCTTCAAGGGGCACAAAATACACAGAAACACATTGAGTGCAGGTGGGAAGTACCTTTTACATCAGTCACAACTGGGTCTGAAACTGTCTCAGTAGGAATACTAGGTTCCCTCTTCAACCAGTTCCAGCAGAGACTAGTGTCGCAGTGGATGAATCTCCAAAAGTCAGATCATGAAGCACAAAAGTGTTTTTCTGAGCTGCACCTCCAGTAAATATTGCTCAGAAATTTCCTACTCATCCTCAGTGCCAGTTAGCTGCACTACAAACCAAAGGGAGCTGTGGCAAAGAGCAAGTTACACAGCAATGCTGGCTACAAGCTTAGACAGATATAAATAATTTCCACTCCCCTTGGCCAGGAGGTGAAAATGAAATATGCTGCAGGGGGAATATGTCCAAGGGGAAAAAGTTTTTTGCCTACTAAAGACAGGTACCTCACATTCAAAAGAAGGTGTGTGACTGGTACTACATTCTAGCAGTACCTAGAGCTAGAATGCCTAGCATTGCTTGCTGCCACAAAACCACCTAAAGCAAGCAAGAGTTTGCACAGGCACGTAGGGTCACAATGTTCCTCTTTGGTATGACTGGTTTCATGTTGTCCCCCACCCCCTAGACCACCACAAATCAGCAGACTAATTTGAAAGGGAAGTGATCAGGTTTTTTGGAACCTCCAGGTACTTATGTGTGCAATCCCTCCCGCATGCTGAGATCCAAGGAGGAAGCTCTCTGACCTACATACGTGGGCACCTCCTCGCTGCAACTACTTCTGCTCCCTCAAGAAATAAGCCAAAGATTATGAATATCTGATCATGATCAGAATTTCTGCCACTCCTAAGCACTAATGGTTCAAACAACACCAATGCAATTCAGCTAAATCAGCACCAGAATTAGCTATTGCAATCCGTGGTGAGGTACACAGGAATAAGAAACTTTAAAAAAGTTAATTCCTATTCCCAAATAATAAAGAAGGAGGCAGAGAGAAAGATCTAACCTGGTGAACTCTGGAAAAAGCATACCTTGGAAAAACCACACCTGGCAAACCACATACAACCTATGAGAGGCCACTTCCCAAGGCCTGGGAGTAAATGCAGTAAAAAGCCCCACTGGTGTGTGTTTTGACAGCCTATTTGCAGTGGTCTAGCACTACAGAGCATCATATTCCCAGTTTTCTTTTTTATTCTTAAAACAATTTTAATTAATGATCTGGGCATTAGACATAAAGTCAAACCCCTGACACATGGGAGTTCTCAAAACTTGTTATGTATTAAGAGTTAGACTAAAATTACTTGGGACTGGGATGAGTGTGTGTAACGACTTTGGAAACAATTGCATGGAAAGAATAACCATTTGAATTCATGAGCAACGGACTAACTCAAGTGTACTGAACAAGAACAAGAAGTTGCTGTAACCCAAATGCTAGCAAATTATGTTGTATATTATGCAACAACTGAATTCCTCTCCTGGTTTTACTTTCGTTTGGAGGATGTTTGGTTGCTTGGTTTGCGCTACTTGTTCGGGATTTTGAAAAAGAAAATAAATATTCCTGATAAAAGACAATCTGACCAGGTCACATTAAACTTAAAATCAAAACACAAATCAGCCTTAATGAATGGTCTGCTTCAACTGAGGGCTGCTACACGGTTCCTCTTCTGTGGGAAAGGTAGGTTTCAACACTACTCACGATGAAACTAAAGAAAACACATGATTCATGCAAGTTTCCTTAGAATTGAGAAAACTCATAAACATGTGGGAAGTACAGAGAGCTAATTGCCAAGATAAACAATGTCGTGCTGCATCCTGATTAGACTTAGCTCACAGTAAAAAAGACAAGTAACGGGCTGAAGCTTGTAACCAGGATGATCCTTGGTCATGGTGTGAACCTTGCTCCAGTCCCACCAAAGCTAACCACCTCACAGTTAACTCAGTTTGACTATCCACTGCAAAATGTCTGTATTTCTGTAAATCACGAGCTCACAATCACCCCAGCCCAGTCTATACAGTCATACTGAGCATCAGCTGGGAGGGGCAGAGAGCCATCGGTAACTTCCTGCTGCATCCCATTACAGCTACAAGAACAAGACAAGGTAGCTGGGAAGAAGTTTTCTGGATACTTGCCTACCAGTCAGCAATAACAGAAGTGGTTCTCTGTGCAGGACAGAAGATGGCTCTGCTGAAGTGAGTAACCGCTGTGGAAAAGACAGTAGCACGAGGGCTGTGCAGTGCAGGACACAAGGCAGGGAGCAAAGCTCTGCCCCTGTTCCTTCCATGGGAAGAGAGCGGGAAGGGAATAAGCTGCTGCAGCTGCCACCACCAGCAAAACATTCCTGAACCATTCCACAGGCACCAAGCACCCCGGGAAGCCTGGAGCTTTACAGCCTTCCCTCCAGAAGGACAGCAGGAAGCATCATCCCCTCATGGACACTCACACAGATGTGCAGGGGGGCTGGGGACTCCTAAAAGATCATCCAGGTGCCACCAGTCCCGTCCCACATGCTCCTGCCGTTGCATGCAGAAGCTCTCTCGTTACTCTTCCAAAGGTCATTGGAACGGCAGGACAGAAATCTGTCCTACAAGTCCCGTTTTCTGACAACTCTGCTCAATTGCATTATTGAGATAAATGTCTGCACTGGGAAAAAGGTCACGCATCAAAAAAATGGGATACTGAAACACTCCCCCTTAAAACACATATTTGCGAGCCTTTTTGGTTTTTTTTTGCCTGGGTTTTACATACTTACAAGCCAAAGTGGTAAGCCCTTGAATCATTCTTGATATTACTTGGGCCATATATATTAAAAGGAAAGATGAGCCCAAAGTGAAGGAGTATATAAGGTGAGGAGTATAAATCTGAAAGTCACCACATAACCACAAAAAAACCCACACTACAGTACTAAGGTTGCCACAATTTCATGTCCTTATTTTTCTGAATTCAGCCGAGAGCTCTGCAACTGCTGCCTTTCCAGAACTGCTCAGGGTGTCTGTGGATACCTGCTAAGGTGGAAAAAGAGCGAGGAGAACAGACATTCCATTGAGCTCAAATTTCCCTAGATGCAAATCCAAAGGTCACATCAAGACACCAACTTCTGAACAGCAGAGCATGCAATAAGAGCAGCAAACGACATTAATTGCTGAATTTTAAATTAACTACAAAGAAATAAAGTTATGACAGTAAACACAGCCTTGTGAGGCGTCTAGTTTAAACAAGAACTCTGGAAAACCTTTGTTGAAATTACTGTAATCTTGCTCTGTAGCTCTATATAAAAAGAAAAAGGTGTCAGTGCAAAACTAAATTGCATAGTTTACACCAACTTTGATACAACTTCTTCCTTATATAGAAGCATCCAGTTCAGAATTTTGTAGTCACAGCAGGTTTGACTTTAGCTCATTAATTCAGACTTCATATTTCACATTATCATCTTGAAGTGAGAGAAAATAATTCTTTTCGATAACTATTATTACTTTTCATGGAAACTGCATTATTCACTTTTTAATGTTAGCTTTACTTACATATCTAAAACCAAAATATATTTTGCAGTCAAGATTAACAAATTAAGATGAAAAATCCATTCAATAATCAATAAAAAGAAAACTAAAGATCTGTAAAATGGGGAGGTTTAGTTTACTGTTTCCAGCTAAGTGCTTCCACCAAGATTTTAGAATCGGTAGGTCTTATCCTTTCATGCATATGATGTATTCAAAGATACAAGAAGCCTTTTCTTAACTGAAAAGTAGCTGATGAGCTCTGAAGTTAATTAGCTGAATTCACAAAATGAAGAAAGTATCCTTTCTGCCCCTCTAAAAGAACTGTGCTCTCAAAAGGTTTAAAACTTGAATAAAGTTCAACCAGGGCCATAGCCAAGGACTTTAATTAGTTCAGCTGTCTTACATTCTTTTTTAATACTTGGGCAACAAAGCTGCTGCTTAATGTTTTTGAAAATAATCTACATATGCTTTGTAGTAAATTCTAGCAGATTTCAAGAGAATTCATAGGAAGAAAAAGAAGTAAAAATCTTGGATGTAATTCTAAAAGCAATTTTCCACTTCATTAACTCACTGCTAGAAGAACAAAGCCCACCAGCTCCAGGGCTAGCCAAGGCTACGCAGACAGATAAAACACATCTACATTGGCTGCCTTCCTCTTGCAACAAATATTTTAGGTAAGTACAAAAATGTGTTCTCTTGTTGACAAAATTATTAAAATATTGATTATCATCCAGATGTCAATTTAGCAGATGTTACTGTTCAAGAAAAGCCAAAATGCTGGGGTCTCATTCTGTCCACATAAAGGTACAATTTCACTTTTTTTATGTGCAGGTTACTCATATATAAATTAACTTAAACACATAACCCACTTATGCATCAGCTCACAGCAGTCAATATTTTACTTCCCAACCTGAGAGCATAAATAAATCATGTTATTGTGCCTTGAATCTTCAAAGAGCTACTTGAAGCAATGGACATTTTATCTTTCCAGCGTGAAAGCAAAGCTGTGCCACAGACAATGGTAATAATGTTAGTAGTTTCCTGCTTTAGACGGTCATCATTATCCAAGGTTTTTAACAAGGAAGTAGAAGTGAAGCTCAGTTGCAATTAGAAGATATTAAGGCAAATGCACCAAACAACTGAATCTCCTGCACAAAGGCAAATTCCTTGGCTCAAGAGCAAGATTATCTACACCTCCTATGCTGCCAGGGAGCGACCATAAGTGACCCAAGAAGAAAGCAGAGTGAAAACATTCCTGCCGTGGCAGACCCTCCAGAATCATGAAAATAAACATTTTAATCACCTTTGCCAATCAGCAGGTTCATCTTCCACAGTGAGATCTGTCTGCACCATCTCCTGTTTCAGTTCTCCAATTTCTGAGGCAATTGTGTCAATGAGCTGGAAAGGGACGAAAATAGTATGACATCAAGTGAGTGGAAGAGGCGTGGAAAAGAAGCCGGGGCAAGCTTAGTCACCAGAGATTACAAACTTTTTCTTTTTTTTTGTAAAATTGCATCCTATTTGGACTTCCCCTTGCAAAGGAACAAGTAAAGGTTGGGGCCATGTGTAAAGGTTCTCAGAGGAAGAGTAATTCCTGTTTTTTGCCAGTACAAAACCTTACAGTTTGGCCAGCCTTCTAATTTAATGGATTAAATTTGCAGCCTCTGTGCATTATACATCATCTTACAAGAATTAAATTATTTAACTGTTCGTAGCATTTACCTTCTCATAAAAAAAAAAAAATTAAAAAAAAAAAAAATTAGAAGAATTCCATGTGCAAGAGTTTTATTTCAGAAGGGACAGAAGAGACACTAAGCCAACATTACAATACTGTGGAGGACGAAAAGCAATGAAGCAAGAAGGGAGTGGGTGGCTGCTTTTCACATTAGGTTTTGGACTCCATTTGAACATAACAATTAAATTAAAAAAGAATTGCCCTGCAACCCTTCAGCTCAGGTAGAACACCAACCTAATCCTGGGTACGAGGGCAAAAACTCATTTTAAGGTGGGCAAGATTAGCACTAAGGTTGTACCCCGAGAAATGCAGAATTTGTTGTGCAAGACTTCAGCGAAACACTTTGTTGAGCAGAAGCCAACCATGAAATTTGCAAAGCCTGCTTTCTTGAACCCTTTGTGGCCAAAGTTTGTTTGTCACACCACACCATGACAGCCTATAAACCCTAGCAGGGTTCCCTCTCTCCGGCCGGGAGGGAAATGAAAGGTGTGCAGTGATGTAGTGATCTCTACCACCACCCCTACACACCATAGCGAACAAAAACCCTGGCACAAGAAGCAAAAACAGCTTTGGGGTCCAAGTCAGAACAGTCTTCACAGCTGCCCTGAAGGAATGAGCCCAAGTCCCACTCAGGGCAGGCAACTCTTGTACAGCAGCACTTTCAAAGAATTGTAGGCATCATTTTCCTTGTAAATTGTTACACTGGAAGTTTTCTTCCACCTCCAAGATTTTCAGCACTCTCCCCTTTGCTGAGCAGCATTATTCCAATCAATTCAAAAGTAGTTTTAGTCTCTACTTACAACTGACCAACTCCAATAAATACACCTTATGTAAGAATGAATTACTATTACCCATGTCCTAAGGGTTTTTTCCTGTCCAAGTCATAGCTCCCAGTGTTGGAAATTATACAAAGTTCAACATTTTTTAATATAAATTTAGTCAGGGGTTTTGTTTGCCTTCGCCCAGGGTTAAAGGAACTGAAGTTTCTTTTCAAAGAACTATTCCACACCTGAGGTCTGATGAGCTTAACATCTCAGCAGACTGGGATCAGCATGGAAGATACACAAAAGATAACAACAAGATTAAGGAAAGTCAACTCCAAACATTGGCCCTGGCATGGTCCGAGACTCCTGGTTTGGGAAGAGATAGATAAGAGAATGAAGACTGGGAAACTAATTAACATTAGAGGTGAGCGGATCAATAACCAATAGGAAACCAAATACTAAGACCTTGGGACCAGTGAACATTGAACCAGATAATTTCTCTGGGTTTTTTGACTGAATGCGAAAAATCTAATAAACACTTGTGTGATGGAATGATTTCCTCTGCTCAACCAGAGCAATCAATGTGTGGATGACCTGGTTTCTGTTGAACATCCTGGCCAGAATAAACCCATGCCTTAATTCTCTAGCACTAAAGATTGTTGTTGGAGAGTTTTTGTTTTGCCCGTAGTGTCGGTGACACCAGCCATATGTACCACTGACCCCGCAAAGACGTTCCACCTGCTGATTCCCAAACACCCCCGAGTCACTGCAGCCAGATGCGAGCACTGCCTCCCTGGCTGTTCAGGGGGCATCTGGAGGAACCCAGGCCAGAGTGGGGTGAATTTAAGGATTGCCAGCAAAGCGCCTGTGCAAAGCTGCTTCAGCTGGTGACTGCATGAAAGTTGAGCTGCTACTCCCCATCAGTCAGCTCTGTTCAAGGAGCTCCTCTTCACGGGCAGCATCACCTCAAGTCCGTGGCCACAAAGAGCCATCACACACAGTGGTGTGTCCTGTTCTCTGACACGTCTACAGAGACTGTGTCTCTCAGGCCAACAGTCTCCACAACCAAGGAGCTTCTCAGCACCTCTGCCTGCAAAGTACAATGTATGAGCTCTCCACAGAAGCGTCCATGTGTTTTCAGCCACCTCCTCCACACCTGCCTTGCTGGCAACTGAGTTAACTGTGTTAGTAGGCTTTGACCAGGGCTGTGACAAAACCCACCTCCCTCCCAGAAAACAGAATCTTGGGGCTAAAACTACAGCAAAGAACTCTCATCCAAAATGTAGTAACAGTGAAGTAATTCTAATGCTCTTGAATTTGTATGCCTGCCCCGAAGAGAACTCTGCAGAAATTATCATTCCTGAGAGGAATTCTTCCATGTTTAGCAATTTTGCTTCTTTTTCAAAAGAGGACTTGAACAAAATGGCAAATCTCAAGCAACCTTATGCTCACATTCTATTCTACAGACTAAATTTCTTGGGTGTACTACATAGCCTCCATGACAAGTCAGCCTTAGTCTCCGAGAAGTCAATACACTCTGGACAAGGAAACCAGCTAAGTGTGGCATCAAACCCCAAACTGATCTGTGAAGTTCCCCAGGACAGAACACACACCACAACCCAACCAAGACTAATCACCTACCACCATGTACTCCACCTGAACTAAAACACTGACCTCTAGGAAGAAGCCTCTCGTTTTTTTTCTAGAACAAACCACTGATATTTTCTGCAATTTCAAACTAATTTTCCTTAAAGTCTCTTTAATGACAAAAAAAAAAATTGCTCTTCTCTTGATTTAAGAATAGAGAGTCTTATGGAGTTGTACCGTTTGTGCATCCTTGCAATTAACTGACACAAACTGTTACAATAGCATTTTTCTATCAAATAATATAAGGTGCACTCATGATTTCAAGGTGCAGCATTTCCCAGTATTTAGCATCAATTACACTTCTGATGATTACACAGCGCACGCGATGCACACGTGACTAGCATCATACAAGATGAGCTGTTAATAACATGTTTCTACAAAACACAGGAAGGATCCTGGCTATGTGCTATTACTAGCTCCAGCCCTGGGAAAACATGCAGCAGCAGAAGGCTCTGCCTTTTTGGTGCAAGGCTAAGAATATTGGAATTCTTCAAAGAGACTTCTCTATTTGCAAGAAGTGTGGTAACTCTTTGGCTGGAAATAATGGGAAAACTCACCCTTTTGTTTCAGTGGACTTAAAGCCAACATGGTAATTAGCAACTTCCAAAGGAAAATGCAACTGAAGTGGATGTATACATTTGTCAGAGGCCACTGTTGGTGTAAAACAGCATACATAAGCCCAAAGACTTAAAAAGTAATCAGAAAAAATCTGTTGTGGGCTGTCTAGGTCTGTGAAATAGATATTACCCTGCTATGCTATAGAAAGAGGAGGTTTACCTGAAAAATGCATTGGGAAGCATGACATCTTCTCAGGTGGTTAATTAATCAGTATCTCTTAAAAATCAAAATTAAAATGAGATCTTATATAACATGATAAAATAGCTATTTTTTTGTAATTATTTTCCTTTGGAATTTATTTCTGTTTACAATAAGTATGAATTCATTGGGAATTTATTTCTCTATTTATATATAAAGCTCCGTTCTGTTAATTCAAAAGACACTACAGTATAACCACTGTAAACCCAAATAATAATTATGACTCAGACAACATGAATTCACATAGCAGCCCCATACAGTATTGCCCAAACAAATCAATCCTAAACATTAGATTGCCAAATACTCATGTACTAACTGTTTACATTCCTAACATCTATGAATGAAATAATGAAACGCAAACATCTTAAACTACAGTATTTCCTTTCATAACGCACCACAGTCTGCTTATTGTCAATTGATTCTGAGCTCAACAAGACTGAGCTCAGCTTTTGGGGAGTGGCAAGGGTGACAGTGAAACTCCTACATACAGGCCACAAACATGGCACCTCAGCACCCCGTCATTCTCTCACCACAACATCTATTTTTGCTTTCCATCATTCAGGATGCTGTACAAGCAGCAAAAATCAGAGCCAGTGTGTTCACCAGAAGCAACTCACTCCTAAGGGGCTCCAGTCGCATTTGTGAAGCTGCTCTGTTGACACTCACATTACTGTCACGCACCAGGAAAAGCACTTGCCCAGTACCAGATATAGACAGTGCCTCTCCCAGAAGCCCAGCATAACTACAGCTCTTATTACTCACTTGACTTGAAGAGTTTCCTGTTCCCAAGAAGAAGACAGGTGGCTTTGATTTGCTGTCTGTTCCCAGACATTTTTAGAAAAAAACGTGTGACAACTGAATTCCTGCTTTTTGTGTTGAAATGTAAATAAGAGAATTAACGAAACTGCCATCATTCTGAGAGCGCACCGAAAGAGTCAGCCAAGATGACCACTGCAGAATGTTTCCAAGCCCTGAGATTTACAAGAGCTCAAGAGGAAACAGTAAGATGGGTGCTTCTAATCTGGCAAGGGGACATAGGCTGAAGACAGCGAGATCAGTATCAGACTGGACAAATGAGCCTCAGCACTCACCACTCCCCCTTCCTGCCAGCATCTCATTTTTCATTCTTTCTGGAGACCTGCATCCTCTTTGGCATCACATCTTTTCCTTCCTGTTTTGATAAGCAGAATGTAGCAACCCTCACAGAGGGCCCTGTGTGACGAGGTGGCCAAATGCCAGAGACAAGCCCGACTAGAACGCTGCTTCTGGACTCGTGCAAGCCTCTGAACACAATCCAATATTTTGAGATACGGCTGCAGATTCTGGTTATTTTGCACAGTGAGCTATGAATTTGCAGGGCCACTGACATTGTTCAGCATCTTAGCCATTAGAAACAAAGTTATACCTGATGCTTGGTTTTGGAACAGAAAAGCTTTACTGGTGTAAAATCTCTGATCCCAGTTCAGTAAACACTGGAACATTTTGATGAGAAGGAGGATAATTCAGTAAAGAGGACATTTGTCAGAGACATATATTCAGCCCCTTGCCTTACCACAGATTCTCTCTGTAACCACTGGCAAGCTATTCAGTCCCAGAATTATCCCAGACTAGCCCCATTTTTCTTCATTCTTATCACTTGCTGGCTCTGAGCATTCATCAATGACACGGTGTAGAGTCCACAGAATTTAGCCTCTAAAACTAGACTTCTGCTCTGTCTAAAATGGGGACAATACCGTTTTCCTTGTGTACTAACAGTCAAAAGAATGGCTGTGAAAAAAACTAAGAGATGGTCAGAAGCTGTAGCAATGAGAACTGCTGCAAGAGCCGGAAAAAAAAAAAAAAGAAGTTGGAATTTCCCACTGGTATTTTTGTCAGCGATTTTTCTGGCAAATGTTGCTGAGAATGGTAAGATACTCCCTTAAGAAGATTTAAGCACCCTGAGAATGTGCATGTGTGGTAAAGGTTTCTTAGGCAACTGCAACTTAACAAGCACAACATGAGAGCCATATGCAAGTACAGAGCACAGTCTGTGCATGGGGGAGAGCACTCTGAAGAACAGATCAGCAGGGATAAAAAGCCATATCTTGATTACTAGGTCTCATAAACACAGACAGGCAAATTAAAATAATTCAAACCAAAAAATCTGGTGTGCCAAGTATTTTGCTCGCTCACCAGCTCAGCTGTAGCAAACAAATATAACTGTTGTCACAATTCTACTGACATGGAGGAGGGAAGGAAAAAAAAGGTAATTTCACTGTATACACACAAGGTATCAGGTGCACTGCGAGCAGGCTGGGCACACTGATGGCCTGCAGCTTCCAATCCCACACTCTGTGCTCAGAACAATGGTCCAGCAGTGCAACTTCCCAGAGATGGTGAGAGGTCTGGAAAAGTAGCTCAGAGGAATCTTTTTCCCTGCCAGTATATCCTTAAGAAAATTTAGGACCTTAGTTTTCTAACTGACAATTGTGGAGGAAGGCCAGTCCTCTGAAAGGCTTCGTCCTCGGAGATCTGCTCCCTAAGATAAAACAAAACTACTTAGTCACGGTGACTAAGCTGTGCACCCCTTCCTGCTTCAGGACCCCATGTTATCCCCCTGTCAACTATTGGTCATTTCACCCCGGTCTTAAAACATTGGTCCTTTTCCCAGTTCTCCCCTTCCCTGTAAAAACCCCAGCTTTTGCCCAGTTCAGTGGATGTGACCATCACCGGCTCCCTTCTCTGAAGCCCGCCAGTAAAGGATTCTGTGGAATGCTACGTGGCCTCTTGTCCCTCGTCTACATGTCAGCTGGGGTATCCCATGAGCTGATCTAAGCTGAGCACAAGAGCTAAAATCACATCTAAAAGAGCTGATCACTTGAAGCCTCAAGCCGAGCTCATAGGGGTTACCCCAGGCTGGAAATTGCCTGAGGGCCCTGGACAGCTATTGCCCGCAGGACCCATACCCAGGAGGTCTGTGGTGGCAGCCAGGGGTCAGACAGACCCCCAGAACCAGCTGCCAACAGACAATGTTTCTTGAAATTGCCCGGGCAGACTGCATTTCTAATCATTTAGAGTAACCACAAGCCCATCATCATGAACAAAACTGCTGTTCCAGCATCTATTTTCTACATAAGAATTACACGACTACAGAAAATGACTGGGTGCTTGCTTACAGTCCCATCCGACATCAGGAGTCCATCAGAATACATGCAAGAGACAACCTAAAGATATTTCTTAGAACTGAGACAGTTCCTTGCTGTGATTTGAAAAATAGGGCTGTTCTCCCTGTTTGGATGCAGAGTGCTATCAATAAGGCTGATGTTTGCTCCTGAGTTATGAGGAGTGGCTCAATTGTGTTGCAGAACTGAGAGGCGGTTCCTGTCACTGGATGACCCTGGTAATTGCTGGACAATGTCACTGCCCTGATCGTTCATTTCCTGAAGATTTCCCTATGGCAAACTTCTGCCCCAGAGGGAGAAGGAATGGGAACAGCAACCCCAAGATGGCAGCATTAGCATCTTTCACTGGAAGAGGCTACAGCAAGTGATGAATATTCTAAGGGATGTGATCACGGTAAATTAATTTAGTTCTCAGAAGCACTTGTAAATTTTGATGGCTCCCTAGAGCAAAACCCTGCCCAGCAAGGCAGCCACTGTGACACTGGCACATAGTTAACAGGATTCAGTCATCTTTTGAAAACTGCACTGCAGCCTGGCTTTTTAGGATGCCAATTGTTCTCAAATTAGGCAAGGAAGTGAAACCAATTTTCAATCCAGTAATGGAAATCATAAGCCTGTATGACAACTTTAAGTGACACAAATCCAGTTTATGAAGGCTTCAATAATTTTATTCCTGTGCATAATAAAGCTTATGTTCTCAGCACTACTGGCAAAGAAAGCCATGACCTATTTTACACCAAATATTCTATTCCATGTACAGAAAAAAATATACAAGTGAAATAACTGGGGGGTAATCTAGCCACAAATCTGCCACTAAAAAGAAATGCTCAAGAAGTACTTTCTGTTTTACGGAAAAGGCTTACTATGTATCACAGAGAGCACTGCACATTCTGCAGCACTCATTTCACATAAACCCACATACTTTATGTTCTGTATAAATATCCCCTTTACCTTAAAGAAACTTCCTCTTTTGTCCACACAACGGGTTTTCATTGTCAAAGACGACATCTTCCCTGAGAAGACTCCACTGTATGCCTTGATCTCCTAAAAGGAGACACACATTTGTAATGGTTAGTCCAGTCTGTAGGAAATTCCTCTGCAATTCTAAGCCACAGAAACAGTCACAACAAGCCTTCTGCCAAACCCTTTCTGTCAACAACATTGTGCCATTTATTTCCTACCAGAGTCCTTACATATCCCTTCAGTTCATTATTTTTCCATAAATTGCTTCAAAAATACAGCGCTACTCAGAGTTCTCTATCTCTCCCTTCTTTTCACAGCTGATCCTGTAGCTGCGACTAGATTTTAATGTGCTCATTAAAAAGGAATTCTAAAACATAATGATTGCTTTCTTTGTTTACTTGACCTCAGTCTGCAGTACAAACAGAACAAAATGTTAGATGTCATTACAATGCACTTTCAAATGTTACAGAATTAGCAGGACTTATCTGGAGGGGAAAAACCAGTTTAAAAGCACCCACAAGGGAGGAAACACTCTACCAATAAAGTAAAAACCAACAAGCAACAACAACAAAAAGACCAAACACCCCCCAAAAAATGCTGCTTCAGGTTTCTAAAATGCAATTGAGTCATATTCAAGTCAGGAACTGAAGATGAAGTTAGGAAGAAGTTGCATTTTCTGCTTTCAGAAAAAGTGAAGCCCAGGACAATACACTAATGCATCCATCATGTGAGGAATATCAATTACCATCTGAAAGTAGAGAAGCAGAGTTCCTCTAAAGTCACAACCAAATCACACCAGTAATTTGTGAATCAGCTTCTGAACTAAGGAGGAGTCAGTTCCATGGCTAAAAAGTCCTCCTAGGTTTTTTACCAGTGAGCTGTAATCGTATTTAAACAGCCTAATTTATCTCCTTGCCTACACATTTTCCAAACACATAGCAGGGAGTTATGTTGAAAGTTTCAGCTACCAAAGGGCAAATAATGCAACTGCAAAACATTACAGAGCAGAGACAGAGACACAGCTTTTGATTTTATACAAGCAGAAATTAAAAAAAAAAAAAAAAAAAAAAAAGCTGTCAGCAGCAGTGAAAAACACAAGTTCAGTGGTGTGGCTGCAGAGGGAGATGGAGCAGAACAAAGCAGCTGGGACAGAGAATGCTGACAGGTAAAAACCCCAATTTGACACATACCCCACACCAAACACACACAAGCTTCTGCTTCCCTCTAATGCCTTAAGAGAAAGAATTGACACGGGTAAGGAAGACCAAGGCAGAAGGAGCTTAAATGAAAAAAAAGGGTTAAATGAAAAACCCTGGCAAACAAAAGTACATGAGAAAACTGAGAGATACAAGCAGGAGAAAAGAAACATTTTAGTTTTAACATGTAGCAAGAAGCTTTAAATAGTTCGCCTTGTTTCCAGAGGTCCTACCACAGCAGCACTAGAAAAGGTTACATTTTTCCACTTGGATTCTGGCTAAAAAGCAGCCATACCAGAAAGCTCAGGAACCTGTCTGCTTTCCAGGCAGGATTTGCAGACTTTGAAGGCTGAAAGAAAAATCTTGAATTCTGCATTACTGTGCAAAACTAAACACTAGGGGATGTGCAAGAGAAGAAAAAAAAAATTGCTAGGAAAAAAAAAAAAAATAAAAAATTGCAACTTTTTTTCTCAATCAGTATATTTAAAGGATACACTCCCGGTGAAGCTCTAAAGAACTGTGAACTGTGTTTCTTTGCCTAGAAGTGCGCCTAAAAAACTTGACTACATTAATCCCGTAAGAGATGATGTTCAGGCAAGCAGGTGGTTTGCAGATTAAACGAGTTAAGCTCCATCTCCACATTTACCACATACACAAGGGTACAGAGCAGTTGTTGCCCTCTGGGGAGCATAAGAAATTATATTTTTTTTTTTTAAAAAAGAGATCTTTACATAAATTCTGGAAAGAAAATTTGCACCTGAGAGTGTTACAGTGGAGGGAGACCCAAAGAACCAAAAAAAGAATTAGAAAAAAACCTCAAATTTCCAAGTTGATCCTATTCCCTTAATGAGAACACCAAATTAAATGACACAGAAAAAAACCCAGAGATTTTAAAGGAGTTAGTTAGAGGGTTATGAGCAAGACCCTGCAGTTGTCTGTACATCTCTAGTCTCAGTCATTAATCACTCCATTTGCAAACAACAACCCCTTCGCAGGAAATCTCACGGGTTTAAATTTTTTTTTTCAATTTAACCACAAGGATGTCTGCATGCAATCCTATTACCAAAATAAGACCATGCTGGGACTTTTACATTCTCCTCTCAAATGTCCAGAGGAAGGAAAACACAAAAATATACAATTTTTGCCTTTCAAAGAGCGGTATGACTCCAGTCAGAAGAAAGCCTCAAACAAAACCACTGCTTATTTCACTTGTAAGAGGTTCTGGAACTCTAAACCTCTTCATAACTTCTATTACTGTCACTATTTATGCAGCATTATTGCTATCTCTAGGACCTTAACTTCTAGCCTCAGCTGGGCTCTCCTCAGCTCCACACAGCCAGTGAATCAATCCCCACCACCTTTTGTGGTTAACAACGTAATTTCACACTAATTTAGGGTAACCTAAATAATGTTTCATGTTTGAGTGGGTTTTAGTATTTCTGACTAAAATCAGCACAATGGGAAACTCTGCTGGGCTTTTATGTATTTGTTGGGAAGGGTTCTTTTGATGCAGATACCTCTTTTTCACCATCCAATACACCAGAAGACACTAGGGCTTGCTGGTAAAATTGATGGCCAGGCTGAGTGAAAACCTGGGGATGGGCTCCTACTTTGGAGCTGATAGGTACCTCCACATCATACAGAAAAAACTGCAGAAAAACAAACCTTCTGTCAGAATGTTTCATTTCTCTAAACAGCTGTGCACATCTGACTCTTACTCAGATCCAACAGGCTGGAAAACCACTGCTCTGAGGTCGTCCTTGCTGAGTTTGGACCGTATGAGGCTGTCAGAAACAAAAAATCTTCCTCCTCTGATTAGGAAGCTAGGTGGAGAAAGTCTGCAAAACATGTAATCTCCTGTACCTGCTGGAGAGAAGTCTTTTCTCCTCCTCCTGTGTTCCAGGCACTGAGGCAGAGAGCCCAGGCAGATTCACCCAGACACTGCCCAGGTGCTGCCTGCTCAGAAACCCACCTGGAAATGTCACCAGGCTGCAGGAGCCAGCTCACTGTGTAATTCCCATGGCCTTTTGCCTGGCCATCTGGAGAGAAGCCTTCTCTGCATCCCAGTGCTTTGTCCCAGCTCTCTGTAGGCAGCAGATGCCAGAGAGTTCCTACCCACAGCACTGCCTTCCTGCAGCTCCCCACACCCAGGACAGAGATCCTGTGTGTGACTGACAAGACAGGGCAGGGAGAAGGGCAAGATCTGTCTGCCTGGCAAATTTCCCTCAAGGTCAGTGCCACTGCATGGATGCTCACGCCCATGCAAACCATATGTTGCAAAAAGAAAGGAGTCTTTCTTCCATTCCCTTCTCCTGCTGTTTTCCTTCACACAGGAATGCCAGAGCACCTTTCACATGCCTGTATGCAACCTTACTTCTGACTCCTCATCAACACAGCTCCTACTTTATTCCCTCTACTGCAATTTTATTGGGGTTTTTTTGTGTGTTCTTATACTTAACTATATTAAAGCTAATGACCACCTCACTGGACTTTTCAGGATCCTTCCCTTTAATCTTCTCATTCCAATCCTACTTCTATGAAGCAAAACATCCCATTTTTTTTAGCTGGAATTCCTAGCAAAGACAGACAGTCTCTGTCTGTGTGCCCCTCCTGAGCACAGCCACAGCAATCTGAGGAACTATGAAGTCCCTGCCCCTCCTTAACCCATCTTTGCTCAACTTCCTAAGCAATCAAGGCTATCCAACTGCACCAGCTTCCTGTTCCTTAGGTCCTAACTAGGCTTTTTGATCTTTTGGACAACCTAACAAGACCTGACTGACAAAACACAGACAAAAAGATAGCAGGAAGAGAGTCCATGTATGCCACCAGTGAAGGAAGAGACCTACAGCCTTCCTTTTGCTGGCTGACCCACAGAATTATAACGTTTTTTCCTCTGTATTTTAAATATAAGTTACTGCACTGAAGAAACTCAGTCTGCCCTCTTTCATTCTCCATCTGTAAAGGCTGTGCAATCACTGAGCATAGATTGTCACAGACACTACCTCAGGTAAATTAAGAAAGGGTTTTACTGTTCTGCAGCCAAGAAAACACAGGAGAAAATATCAGTCCAGACCTTATGTTATAAGCTGGCAAAGGTCAGCTGATGTCAGAAGCTAATGCCGATTACTACGTGTCAGTGCATTCCCTTGGCCGACAGTGGGGTACAGCTGGAATACAATCCCTACTGCCCCATAACAAACAGAAAAGCATGGAAGCTAGGCAGAAGCCACTGCAGATCTATTTGTAAAACCTATGGTGAATTAGTGTCATATTACAATCAATTTTTACAGCAATCTATAAATACATACTATTGAAACAACTAAAATTCATTTGGTGAACCCATTTTCTGTTGGGTTAAAGTGGAAACCAGAAACAGGAAGGATAAATACATTTTACGTAATTTTAAAAAGTAAAAATACCCCACCCTGCTCAATTGCAACTTTACACTTGACAATATGCCAAGAAATATACACAGTACTTCAGATTTTCATCAAATGTAATCATCCTCATGCAGTTCATTTTCCTGTTCTCCTAGTGCATTTGTCAGTCCCAGGGAGCAGGCTGTGTTCATCTCTAACCTACAAAGCTCTGGTTTGTCCAATTACTCTGACCTTATCTGAATCTTGGCAAAATTAAACTTTTCCTTTTTGAAAGTATTTCCTCTGAGAAGCTGACTGCAAGCCTCCTTCCAAGAACATAGATACAACTGAGCACAGTATCACTTTGAAAATCTATCAAATAAGACCTTCAGTCTGCAAACTATCACTGGTGCCAGGATCTGGAAGACCTCTCAACTCAAATGTCGCATTGTGTTAACACAGCTGTATCCACAAGCAAAATGCGAGAGGATTATGTAAAAAGAAATTCTAATTTCCATCATTCTTC